AAACCACTCTGTAATCAGGCAGCAAAATCAAACTTGTTTAATGGTACATCCAGACAGTAAAACTCAGGCCCGTGTGGCTGTGCTGGCAACCCCAGGAAGGACAGCAGGACACGTCCTGGATGGCACTGGCAGCCCCAGGCCTTGTGCCATCACACATTCCTCGCGTCTCTCCATCCATTTCCTTCTGCCCCCAGTGATCCTGCCCACTCTGTGAGTCCCAGAGCTGGAGTTCTGCGTGGGGCAGGTGCTGCAGGTGGGATACGTACCTTGGTGTCACAGCCCCTGTGCAGTCACTTCACTGTCCCCAGCGAGCAGCAGGAGCCTTCAGGCGGTGATTTGGTGGCTTTGTGTGGAGCCTGCACGCTCAGAGTCCTCAGGGAACGGGCACAAACCATCCTGGGAGCAGAACCAGAGACCACGACCCCCGTCTGGGCTCCCACCACAGCTATGGGTATTTATTGTATTTGCTGCTACTTTCTTTTCCTGGTCCAAAGATTCGGGATTTCCTTTGTATAGCATGAAACCACCGCAGCAGCAGGGCTGGCCAGGGACTCCTCTCGTGCTGCCCTGGATCTGTGGGGGAGTGAAACTTTGAGGAAATCTGTGCGTTGGTCACAGATTCCCTGAAAAACCAGCCTGTGGGATAAGGGGTTTGTTAAGGCAGGTGACACCACAGTTACAGCTCCCCTTGACAGGACGAGAGAAAAACCCTCCCTGTTCCTGACCCACCTGGGGTGCCCACACGGCCCCCCCCGTGTCTCTGTTAGAGTAGGGAGGGCTCTTGGGGACCCTCCCAGGCTTTTGTGTCACCTGGGTGTCCCTTGGGAATGTGAGGGCCCTCCACAGCTGGAGGACATGGGCAGCGTGGACACCAATACAACAGAGCTTTGGCTCCAGCCAAACCAACCAAATAAATCACAAAGTACAAATGATGTGGTTTGGGTCAGATAAGGCAGCAGGGGACAGTTTTTTACAATGGCACTATCAGTGCAATTTGCCAGTTTCATCCTTTGCATCCTCACGTCACCTGAGCTTTGGAGGGGGAGCTGTGGCAGGGTGCTGTAAGGCTGCTCTTTTTTGGCACAGGCAAAGCACTGTTCTGGCTGCTGAGGAATTAAAATACAGCAAATGGCACTTCTTCGTATTTATCCAGCTTCCAAACAGGACACAAAGAACCAGTGAGATGGCTCAAACAGGTGGAAAGCAATTCCACTTTCAGATGTGCTAACATACCTTTGACTCAAAACTCCCTGTGGTCTGGGCTGCACAGGAGTGACTGATGATGGAAAAGCCATCAAATGTCCAGGTCAGCAAGAATAAAATTGATATTAAAATGACCTGGGAAATCCAGCTCAACAGAGCTCTGCTCAGACCATTCATCTGGAGAGGGCAGCTCTCGCTGGGATGAAGAAACAGCCACTGACAAAGGACTTTCTGAGATAACAGCAGTGACTTCACTTCTGTAAATGACTTATTTGTTCAGACCTGCTGCTCTCTTCACACCTCTGCAGTGCTCTGAATGTGGCAGAGTATCAGCCCAGACTGTATGAAACCTGCCTTGAAAATCACTGTCTTTAGGAGGAAGAGCTGCATCCTGTTCAGTCTCTGAGCTGAACCATTTCCACCCCGGGCAGACGGTGCTGTCTGCAAGGGGCAGCTGCTCGCTAATTTCCTATGAACCTGCAGAGCTTTAATGCGCTCACACACCCCCTCCTTCATGAATAAAAGCTTCACAGCCTTTGGAAAGGTGAGCTAAGAGGAGAAGCAAATTTACCAATAGATTCTCTTATTGTTTCTCCAGATGAAAAAAAGAGCGAAACTTCTCTTCTGGAAGCCAACTTCACTCGCTCCCAGGGCCAGCACCGAGTCTCTTGGGACCCGAATTCTCAGATGTTATTTATAAGCCAACTTAGTGCCATGATTTATTGTGAAAAACCCAGATCCTGGCAAAAGTGTGTGTCTGCTCCCCTGCAGCTGTACAAGGGGTGTAAGAGCCAGGCAGGCTCTAGCTGTGTATGTTATGGCTCTCTGCTCTCACAGGCAGTGTGTCTGTGCAGGACCTGTGTGTTCACAGCCCCATCTCCACCCACAGGGGGATGGCCAGCTCCCCTCCCCAGCTCTGACTGCAGAGGCAGCCAGAGGTAAAACACACTCTGCAAGGTGCCCCAGACCTGAGCACTGCTTCAAGCACTGATGTTTTCTTCATGAGCCAAGTGTTTCTGCGAGGGTTGAACTCCTTAACACACTCTCCTAAATGAAAAATAAGCCCTCACACTGTTCCCATCTTGCAGAGGTTTTGTTGCTGCTGTGACCAAACTGAAAGAAGAGGGGAGTGCTCCATGTCCCCCAGACAGTGCACTGGCCACCACTGTCTTTGGCTGGGGAGTGGACAGAGAGGTGCTGGAGGGAGGTTTGGAGATGGGTCCTCCTGGAAGAGGGAAACACTTTGGAGCCATCGCTGCTGCACGGCCCAGCCTGTGGACGAGGCTGAGCACAGAGACCCTGCCTGGCCTGACAGAGCTGACAAACTACTGTGGCTCTGACATGACCAGGTGCAAGTCTTCACCAGGAGACAGAGCTGGAAGGAAAAAGGATGTGAACATTAAAAGCATTTAAGAAATACCTTGAATCTCTTTTACCATAGCAAAGGGAAGAGGGGCAGACAAAAAAAGACAGTTTTACAATTTGTCCCTGCAGTTTCAGGGGTTGCATTTGCAGTTTAACAGCTCCTGTCCTTCCTTAGCTGAGAAACCCTCAGTGGACAGGGCTTACCAGCACTCTCAAAGTGCCAGTTATTCCTGCTGCATCCCCAGCAGCATGCAATTCCAGTTGTTCTTTATGAACCGGCCCAGATGGAGCATTACGTGCCTCAGAGGATGCAGACCTGCCACTGGACTTACTGCAGAACCCAGCTGCTCCTGAGCTACAGAACAACAACACACTGTATTGGTTGGGGTGGGCTGGGATGTGCAATCCCTGCACCATCATTCACGTTGGAAGTCTGATTCCTTGCAAAGCAAAAACTCTTCTGTAATTATTGATAAACCCACACGGATAAACCAGACGTGCAAAGTCGTTCATACAACATTCCTGTCATGTCACAAACATATCAGCCTAAGAGCTTTACCCATTCCATTCCATTCCATTCCATTCCCAAGCAGAGCCCATGGAGGCTGCCAGCTCTGCACAATGTCCCTGTGCCTTCAGCTGGGGCAGCACAACAGACCAGGGGGTGTCACAGGAACACGAAGAACACAGACCCAACACCCCGCAAGAGAAAGGGTTTTCAAACGGGTTTCTTTGGTTTTTGTTTTTGTTTCATGCAAGCAGAGTTCACAGCAGCTGGCTGGATGCTGGGTGGCTGGAGAAAGCTAAAAACAAACAAATCCCATCACCAAATGAAATTCAGAAGTCGACTACCAGCCACAGGCTGCAGCGGCATTCCCAGCCACGGAGTGCTCTTCCCAGCGCCAGGAAAGCAAGCCGGGGTGGGAGCAGGCTGCAGGGCATGGAGGTTGTTTGTTTAGAGTTCTGAGGAAGCTCTGGTGGTGCTCTTGCTCCCAGTGCACACTCTGGGTGACTGGGTTTCCTCCCCACTCCCTCTTCGTCAGGGTTTTTTTGGGTGCATTTCCTTGAGCAATGCACGCAGCTCGTGCCCTCCCCGAGCATCCCCTTCCCCACAGCTCCCACCTGCAAACTGGGAGGGCAGCACAAAATCCTGGCACACGACTCTGCTGGCCGGCAAAGGCAGTGGGGAGGGCAGGAGAGGAGTTCTCCAAGGGGAGGTCTGACGTGTAACTGCACTTTGGGTCTGCTCTCCCCTGCAGAACTCCTGGGGAACAGCGCTGTGCCTCTGCTCCCGAGGGGCTCCAACCACGGCACAAACGGGATCATCTGGAGAGCTGAACCCCAGCACGGCACCAACGGCCTCTTCACTGCAAGCAATAATGGAAGCAAGAGAAAGAAAGCTTGGCTGGGGGTATTGCTGAAGCAGATGTGAAGCTGTGATGTTGGAGGTCTGGGTGAGTCTGCTCCTGAACCTGCTCAAACGCTGGCCCCACAGCTCTGCCTCCTCTCTTCCTCTCAGAGCAGAGCTCCTTGGGGTTTGCATTTTGGGAACCTTGTCGGACTGGTTTCCTCAGCTGTCTGGGCTGAGATGTGGTCAGTCTGTGTGCCAGCACCTTGGCCATCCCTCACCCTGACAGGGCAGAGAGGACAGAGCAGAAAATCAGTGCAAACTGACTGCAAATGCAGCAACTGGGCTGCAACTCTTTACAGCACTGAGGTCCTTGTGCCTGTTTCTCCACATGACAACAGACACCACTCCCAGCCACGGCTGGGCCCTGCTATGATAACCTTGGTTTGCTTGGTTGGAATTGTATTTTTAGGCTATCTAGACATACATGACTCAACTGTCTTACCTGCAAAATGCACTGGGTGTCTGGAGACAAGGAGCCCTTGACCTTTCAGGGATAAATTCCTTCTCCCAGGCAGGAACCTGCTCATTCCCCGTGTCCAGCCCTCTGCAGCAGGGCAGTGCACGGCCAGGCTCCTTCCCCTGGAAAACCCACCCCCTGCTCTACTTCCACACTCTCCAAAATGGTTCTTGGGCTGCTCTCAGCATATTTTGCTGAAGTCTGTCCAGAGAGCTCGGCTGTCTTCACGTCTGGGCTGGAGCTGAGCAAAGTGCAGGAACAAAAAGCATTTTAAACCCCTGTCTCGATCCCAGCTCCACTCGGAGCAAGCCCTGCCAGCGCTGGCAGGGCGGGATCCTGTCAGTGCTGAACCTCCAGCTACTCGTTAATCACTCGGTTCAGTTCACAGGGAGGACACAGAGCAAGGGAGGTGGGATATTTCCCGAACAATCCTACTTTTTGGTGACACACGACTGTCTCAGTGTCCACCCTGCTGCCAGGCTGGGGCTCCACCCCAGCGACTCTTGCTCAGCCTCGGGGGAAGGTGAGACCGCTCTGAGGAAAATGACTTAAAATGCCTTCAGGTGCCTTTTCACTTCTTTTTATTTAATTCCATAAATATTTTCATAAGGCTCAGTGTCTTTACAACACTTTTTAAAACACTTTTTTTGTTTTATACACACAACTTTGACACTTGTTTGACAGGGTCAAACAGTCCAATATAAACAAAATAATAAAACTGGCAAGTGCGGATCAGCTGGGTTACCAAAATCCTTTTTTTTCTTTTTTTTTTTCTTTTTTTTTTTTTTTTGCTCTTACTTTTAAAACCCCAAAAGCACTAAAATATCAGTATTTGGCTTCAAACTAGAATTTTAAAAACCTTTTTTTTTTTTTTTTTTAAATTCTCTGCTACAAGTCCCTGTCGTCATCGTAGTGCCTTTAAACTCCTACAGACTCTTCTTTTCTTCTTAAGGAAAAATAAGCTTGGTGATGCCATGCAGAACTTACAATAGCTACTAAATATACATGTTCCCTGAAATGTAGCTGCAATGAAAAGATGACAGAGCATAAAGAGAACAAAACCAGAAACCCAAAGCACCACAGTGTACTATCAATAACATTGCAATGGATGGCTGGTGCCCATCCAGAAACTGAAACAAATTTCAAATATATTTCTCTATGTATTATTTTCTATTTACAACTGTTAGATGCACCTAGGTTGGTTCTTGTTTGACTTTTTGGAGAGGGTGGGGAGGCGAAAGTCTTGAATTTAGATCCTCTGTTCTAGTGTCTAGGTCAAGGGGTAATGCATGTCATTTACCTAGGGAAGAGGGAATCTTTATTTTATATATATATATATATATAGATTCAGCCAGAGAAAACCGTAAACATTTAAGTTTGTTACAACTCTCTTGTTTCTGCACATGGAATGGTAAGTGGGTTCCTCCTGTCTGGCATTGAAATGAAAGTCTGTTACCAGATGCTCAGTCAAATCACCCCCATCTGCATCCGCGCCGCTCCCGCCGCGGCAGCCCAGCCCTGCTCCCTACTGGGAAAGCCACAGGAGGTGGGAAAGTGGGACCCAGTGCTGGTTCTTCTTTGTGCCAATGCTCCATCTGCTGCAGCACCTTTGGCAATTTATGGAGGGGAAGAGCTTTCCTGGATGCCATTGCCTGAGAGCCAAGCCCCTCTTCCCTCTGGAACACGCGCCTGCAGCTGCTCTGCTCGGGCAGTGCTGGCTCGGGTGGGCTTCCCACTTAAGAAAGAAGCTGCGAGTCCAACAAGTGGCCTTGTCAGATCAAGCGAGTCTTGACTTATGATGCAAATAATGGTGTGGCGGTGGTGTTTCTTTTTTCCTAGTGCTGAATATTTAGGAAGCATCTTCTCATAAAAATTATGGATGTCTCATTCTCACTCTCTGAGGCACAAAACAGTAAATGAACAGGCTTAACTAATGTGCTTGTTACTTTTTTCTTTTTTTCCCCTAAGCAATTAAAAAGGCAAAGGAATAAGTGAAATTTTCATCATGTTGACAACATTTTGGAATCTCTCTCTCTCTTTCTCTCTCTCTCTCTCTCTCTCTCTCTGCATCTCTCCAGCCATTCAGGAAGAGTAAAACATTCCAGTTAACTGCCGAGAACCCATCTCATCCACTTCGTTAAATACCCATTCTGGTAAAGAAACAAAATAATATTTGCTACGTACCCCGTATTCAAATCTGACCATAAAAATGCAAAGATACAAAAGAGCATAAAAATCATTTCTGATATAAAATTGGGTTGCTTCCTATTTGCAATTCCTGGTGTTTGGCTGCTGCCTGTCACAGAGGGGCCACTTTTCCACTCCAGAACACTAATCTGGCTTTGCTGGTTATTGATAGTTTCTAAATTAGTGAAAAGTATACGAGCGATTATTTCTTGACTTAGATAAAAATAATGCCACCCTTGCAATATGCCCTGAAGTAAAACAGGCTCCATGGAAATAATGAAATCACACTCTCTGCTCTTCCCATTGTATTTCTTAGGGGCAAAGAAAAAAAAAAAATGTATGTCCACACTCGCTGGCTCAGGGTGCTTTTGTGGTGTATCAGATTCAAAGGAAAATGACAAATACCGTGGTCAATCACTTTATCCCACATTTTCAAAGGAGTTTGCAGAATAGCTCTGCAAAGGTTTTAAATTCATCTTCTAAATCTGGTTAAACAGTCTCATTTGCCCTAGGAAAAAAAAAAAATCATCCTCGTGCACAATGGTTTGTTTTGCAAGCTTAAACATAAGCTTTTGCACTTGCAAACAAATGTACTTAAGGCTGAAACTGTAGGAGGTGTCTCTAAAAACAGAGCTGTGAATCTCCAGAGGGAGAAAAAGAGAGAGAAAGAGACCTGGAGTTTGGCTGAGTGACTCCAGAGCCGCGGACACTGATACACCTCTGCCAGCCACCGACGGCCTGGGGTGACCTGAGCACTGCTCTGATCGGGACACAACCACGCCTACACATCTCGGGTCACACCTGTATCTTCCCTGAAGGGCAGCTCTCAGCTCCTCTGCAGCTCGGGAGCTTTGCCAGCAGCTGAACCCTTGCCGGGATCCTCCCACTAAGGGGTCACTACCGGCAGCTCAGCCTGCTGGGGATCTGGGATGCCCGGAGCGGAGCAGGCAGTGAGGGCAGTGAGTCCCCGCTTTTGGGACCACTGCTCCTGCAAATGGCAATTCGTGGTTCATCAACCAGGACTGTGCAGGCTGAGTGTGGCCAAGGATGGGACCTTAGTTCCTGAAGACAGAAAACTGGCCATTTGTCAGAGCCTCGTAGCCAATTTTCCTCCAGCTGCGATGGAGGCATGAAGCCATCGGTTTTTAAGCTTTTATCTTTGCATGGAAAACAAAGATAGGAGTGGGCTTTTCAGAGTCGTGTCTCGGCTTGAAAAGAAAATAAATCAAAGATAACCCCACAGAAACAAAGCTCAACGCAAAAGAAAGAAAAGCCCCTGATATTCTTTTCTCAGTCTTACTCCGAGTGTGAACAAATCACACTGAATTGAGAAAAAGACAATGCTTAAAAAAAATGCAAAAAAATTAGCTGAGGAAAACCCATCTCTCACTTCCTAAGTAGCTGCTTCCCCTTCTGCTGGGTTTCACCTGCCCACAACGAAACAGTTAAAGCCAGAGAAATACTGCGCAGCGGAGCGGGAGCACAGGGAGCACATCCAGACAGGCACGAGTCAGACCAGGGAATGCAGGACAGGGAAAGGGGCCACATCTTCACTGGAATGGGGACTTCGGGGACAGCCAAGGGAGGGACGGAGAGGGAGGGAGAGGGAGCAGAGACCTCCCAGCACTCCAAAAAACAAACAACCCCCCTCATAAATAAAATCAAAGAAAATATACACCAATGTAGTCCATGAGGAACTTCCATGACGGAGTCACACAAGCGAGAAAGCATTCTGGGATGCCAATGACGACCAGGATGAAAATGAAGAAAAACAGGGGAAAAATAAAAACCCAACAGATGTCCGACCAATGGAATAAAATAAAACAGGTCACATGGTTAGAAATCATTGGTGCTTCCTAGTATCTAGTAGCAGATTACTTCCCAAAAACAACAAAAAAAGTTTTTGGTCCTTCTATATATATACATATATGTATATATTATTATTTTTAAAATGTGTGTATACATATATATATGTATATATATTTAGTTGCAACAGTGCTTCTCCGAAAAAAGGTCCATCTATAAATATAATTTTATTTATTTTTATTTTTAAATTTTAGTTCTTTTAAGTTAAAATTCTCCATCTCTCTACGTATTATTTTTTGAATGGTGTTAACCTGCTGAAGTTTTGCCAGAATGGTGCCTGGCTGCGTCTGGGTTCGGTGAACTCGAAGACCTGGGACTGGGATATGCCATCTGTCACCATGTATTGTCCCTGATTTAATGGATCCTGGGGTGGTGGGTAGGCTGGAGGAACCGACTTGGAGTAGCTCACACCTGCATCGATGATTGGGGGGAAAAAGAAACAGATCAGTCAAAGAGCAATTGGGTCAGTAGTCTTTCTTCGTCATGCTATCGCCTCTTATCACTCATAACCGGGGTCCCAAACACCGGGGAGACGTGCGAGAGACGGCACAGCTACGGAGCCACCACACTGCCTGACCTCTCAGCTCCGAGGCTGCCTGTGCTACACCAAGGCCTGAAGATTTGGGAAAGGTCCATTACTTTTGCGTGGGCAGAGTTCCGCCTGCCCTCATGGAAAAGTCCCGTGTGACCGAAGGAGCGCGGCCGCGGGCACCGTCCTGCTCAGGCGGAGCCCAGAGCCCGCGGCGTTCAACCCACTCCGCTTCCACACCTGCTGCTTCCAAGCTCGTTCCTCCCCTCCCTCCCAGCTGGACCTGGAGCACAGCCGTGCCCAGCACGCCCCGCTGACCCAGCCCCGAGAGCGCGACCCTGGGGACCACGCCGGGGCAGAGCGGGGCTGCCCTGCAGGACGGCTGTGCTCGTCTGCCTGCACAAAGGGAGCTCCTCACCTTCTCTAGGGAGGTTTTAGGACTTTTCCAGAGGGTTCTTTTTGAATTCACCAGTCTGGTTTCAGCCCGAAACGGCTGCACCCAACGCAGAAAAGGCTGACTCTGCTCAAGCCAAACTGGTAGCAATGGATGGACTGGCAAGGCTACGCTCTGGGGTCTGGATGTCTGATTCCCACACGGGTGAGCCACAGCTCCTGTGCAGGAATGGGGAGAGGGGATGCTGCCCTTACAGCTTTCCCATGGAAAGGGGGGGCTTCAGCAAGCCGGGGCCTGTGCAACCTGTTGTAAAGGATGGTGTGGCAAGGGCGGCTCTGGGTGACTGGAGGTGAAACAGGAGGGATGTGTGTAGCACAGACTACGGGCACAGTGACTCAGTCTGCATGTCCTTCCCCACAACACCGCTGAGGAGGGATAACCCCTCCTGCAGCCTCAGGGCAGCATGACCGGCTGGAAACCACAACTCCAGAGAAGGGCAGGAAGGAGAGAGGAGCAGGGCTCTGGAGCAGGCTGCTGTAAGCTCTGGCCTTCTCTGGATCCCCTCTGCTGCATGCAGAACTGCTCTTCCTTCTGCGGGGTGCAGGCGTCGCGAGGGCCATCCCGAGGCCGCCGCCTGCCCCGGCTTTAACCGCAGGAGCGAAGGTGACTCTGCCCAAGCAGCTCAGGGTCCTCATCTGGAAAAGCGGGATGGCAGCACCCACCTACCTCACAGGAGGGTTGTGAAGCTAAATTAATTAATGTTTGTAAAACACTTTGAGATCCTCGGCTGGGAAGGTGCTAGAGAAGGCAAAATACGGTGATTAGCACCCAGGTACCAGAGCAAGGTGTGCACAAGAAATGTGGTTCGCAGTCCTACCCACACACAGACACACCGGGGCCGGGCTGGCCGGGCACAGGACGGCTGCACACGGGTGGCACTTACACACAGGGGGAAAAGCCTCACAAAGGGGCACTCACGGAGCTCACCACACAACTCGGACATGGTGCTGCACTGGCCTTCGGGGCCTCTTTTGGGTACGAGCTAAGGCTTTGGTGTGTCTTTAGGAAAGAGGATCAATTCGCTTCCCCTCGCTGTAGAATTTAGGAAATCAAGGGTTAAAATCCTCAAAAGGCTCAGACCGAAGGGAGGTATCATCTTGACTATGTTTAACTCATTTCTCCTTCTTTACTATCTCTGTCCACTGCAGGGAGTAACCAAGATCTATCCTTGCAGTGAACAAAAACTGCTCCGTGATTCATCCTTATGAGCCTTTAACAAATTCATCACAGTTAGTATTTCAAACTTATTTTAAAAGATCAGCCTGGAGATGTTCTGTGTTTCTATCTGCATGATGGAATAGTTACTCATGAGGGAGTCTTCCCAAGCTCCTGTCTCCCACAGAAGGCCTGCAGAGCAGAGGGCAGCCCCAGAGCCCTTGCTGTCCTGGGATAGCTGACACAACTTCTGTACCGTGCTGGTGGGCAGGTCCCAAACAGCAGTTTGAATTTATCACACTGTGTGACTGAAGCAGATGATGCCCCATAGGGACAGAGCATGAGCCTGAGCTCATCTCTGCCCATCCCTTCCATCCCTTCTTCTGCCACTGTCCTGCTCCAGGCAGGTAATGTGGGGACAGTGAGACCAACTGCAGAGTCTGCTCTGGAGGACAAACTCTAACCCTGAACCCACACAGGAGTGTTGACACTCTCCTGGAGGCCACCAGCCCTTGGTGCCTTGGCCAATTTTCCCAGCAGAGACTGGTGAGGGGTTTTAGGATCTGTGGGAAGGTTAGGATCTGCTGCAGGTCCCTTACAAGGCTAGAGCTGGGAAATAAATCTTCTGGTTTGGTCAACCCAGTGGACCAGGATTTACTTCAAAGGCAAATAGTCCTTGTGCCACCAAATTATTGTTCTGCAACAGAAAAGAGCTACTAAGGAGGACACAGCAATTGGTTTTAGCTTTGGAAGACCTTAATCCCACACTAAGACATGCCCAATGGCTTTGGCATCCTGTGGCTGCAGAGCAGCAGTTGGCCCTGAGCTGCAGCTGAGCTGGGCTGGGCTCTTTACTGTCCCTAAACCAATTTGTGGAGGGTGAACTAATGTATTTTAATGACCATACAGAAATGCTACAAGATTTCCTGGATCAGCAGAATGTTATGCACTTGGAAGGCTGAAGAAGAAGAGAAAGGACAGTCTGGCTGACGTCCACTGACACTGATGGAGTTCCACTGCAAAGAGTGGCATCCACAGTCCGTCTTCTCGAAGAGAAAAAAGGCAGACTCCCCTGGCCAGATCACATAGCAAACCCCAGACAGTTCTTTCCCCAAACAGCCTTTTAGGTCAAAACTCCTGAAAAATGTCTATCCGTGCTTGAAACACACCCATGCACACACTGCCACTGCCTTCAGTAAAGCAGCTCAGACCCCCCTCCTCACAGTCCTACGTGTGGCCCTGCGTGAGGATCTGGGCTACTGGCATTGACATCTGGGCTACTGGCATTAACATCTTGGCTGGATGAATGCCAAAAAATCCTGGCTGGTTCTACTTGCATAAGCAGCTGAAGGTTTGCATATTTACCATATTTCTCAAGCGATCAGGCCCGTGGATCTCAATGACATGCATCATCACTCTGCGTGGGGCATGCAGGTAAAACCACTGTGCTCGGGCAAGTCAGGCTGATAATTCCAGAACACATTTCCTTGTGAAACTGTGAGGCAGCACTTTGCAATAGCTTGAGGTGCTCCAAGAATGGCTTTTAAATATTTTTTTGAACAAACCTGTGTTCTTAACAATGTGGAACCCAGAAAACTGGGAGCTGGGAGGGGGGAGGATTCACCTAATCTGCACATCTTCAACTCCTGAGAAAGAGCAGTTCTGGGAAAAAGGCAGGCAGGCAGGTTATTTTTCTCTTCTGCTCTGAAGTGGTTTGTTCCCTCATCAGAACTTGGGGCCACTGTGCAAAATTGTCTCTTGAGGGATATCTTTTTAATATTCAAAGCTGTAACTCCACTACAATTGAACAGAAAGAAATGAGCAAAGCTGTTTTCCAAGGCAATTTTGGGCTGTGTGGCAGACAGAATTCAAAGCACAAAGGGAAAGAATCGATAGATAAGTAATGATTTCTAGGCACAGCTGTGTCAGAACGCAGCTCTACCCCCATGACCAGACCTGGAGCTCCTTCTGCTGGCTCATGCATAATTCTGCACTGTGGCTGCAGCTGCACAGCGGGGTTGTGGGGAGCTGCTCAGAATGAGAAGAAGAAAACTCCCAGATTTATAATTTGGCTAGACAAAACTGGTAAGAGAGATGCTGCTCTGTCAGTTGAAATCATGTCTTTTTTTAGCACTGGGCAGCGTCACTCGGAATCTTTTGGATTTCTCAGCTCAGGAGAAAACAATTAAAAAGACTTAAACTGTCTATTTTTTTTCCTTCTAGTTTTTGTGGGGTTTTATTCTTTTTTTTTTTTATTCTTTTTTTCCCCCCCAAAGTGTCTCTTCTACTTGAGGTTACAACATGATTTCAGTAGCACTTGGAGACTCAGGAGCATGCTGTTAACTCACAGGCAATCCACGGACACGTGCAGACAGATCATAGGCAGGACACAACACTGCACCCTCCCAGAGCTCACACAGCACACAGAGTGCACACAGATCTCCTCCACACAACCATGGCTAGCCTTACAAGCTGCTTATTCCATCCTCCTGTAAGATTTTAGCTTACCCTTTGATAAGGAGCTATTTCACTTTACCCAGCTGTCCAGGTGTCACTCTGTCCCTTGGCCAGAGTGGGGGACAATGCCATTACCCACACTTGGGTTCTGCCCTGGCTGAGGGGGGGCTGCTGGCAGGAAAGGGAGCAGTGCTGCACTGAGGAACCTCCCAGCTCCCTCTGAGCTCAAGGGCAGCTCAGCCACCTTGCACCTTTCAGAAGCCATGCTCAAAAATCCCACAAATTCTGTTTTCTCCTGAATACTGTAACACGGGGAAGCCAGGGACACGCCTCAAGAGCACTAATTGTTGTGTTAATTACTCCTGCAATAGCGACAAGCTTAAGGTAAAGAAACAAGCAGTACTGGCCGAGTGGGTACAGCCCTTTGCCCTTCTGCAGCACATTTCAACAGAGGATCTCAAAGCACAGTTCACCAGGTCCCTCTTAGGTTTAGGGCTGGCAAACTGTGATGTGTCTGGTATTAGTTCTCCCTGACTGCAGCCCTACAGAAGGAGGGGTGGGTGTGAACAGGATCTATCCTGAGCAGCTGTGGACTGGTTTACGCCTCCTGCTGAACCACCCAACTCACTTTTGGACATATTTGCTCATCTCGAGCAATTTGGGTGGTGCCTTAGCCATGGCTCTTCACACAGCTGGGGATTTTACTCAACAGTCTGACCCAGGCAGGTATTAATGGGATGGTAATAGTGAGGAGAACGTGCCTCAGCTCCCTTTTCTAACCACTGACCTCACTTCTCTGTTAGGAGGAAGAGGGAG